GTATAGATAATACTAACCCCTTTACATAAATATGCAAATCATTAAGTTTTAAGTTATACAATGCTAACTATAGAACTACAGAAATTTAGAAAACCAGTAAGTCTCCCATGCTTTCTAACACAATTTCCTTTAGAAAGGAGTTGGAAGATGGCACAATAAAACCTGCAAAGTAAAATAGAAACAGATATTATTTGAGGACATCACAAATAAAGGTTATATACTGTGTCTAGCCTGGACAAGCATAGAATCATGGAAGACTGGCTTTCTTCTGAGAAAAGAAAAAGCAGCTCTAACAGCTGTCAGCTAACAGCTTACCTGGCACCAACATCTTGACAATGACGATGCCCACTTAACATAAACAATTTCACAAAATATGAACATTAGACAAGGTCACTTTGTGTTCATGATGATATAGTGAAATATAACAAGACCTTTCTATAATCATGTGTGAACAGAGACAAAAACAACAATACTGTCCCCCAAAAAGAAAAACAAAAGTTATCCTCCCAGTTAATACGAGTAACTATGGCTATTTTATCAAATAAAGCTTTAGGCCCCACTCCATTCCCCTCACTTTATAAAAGGAATTAAAACATCTAATAATAGACTTAGCCCCTTCTCTTGAAACCACCTGCTTCTAAAAAATTTCCCCAGAACAAGGGCAAATACACTGTCAAACCATTCCTCTCACAGTCTTACTGAGTTCCCTAATGTTTCATCACTGTGTGTGGTGTCCCTTGTTGTGGCAAGTAATAAATCCCACTATTGGCTAGAGGGCATTGATATTTCCTACATATGACAGTGTCAGTTGGTCTACATGCTTACCAGTAATTGGTATTCTCAGAGCTATTTCTAAATCATACTGCTTCGTTGTGGTTTTATTTTGCCTTTCTCTCAAGTCAAATGATGCTGAGGAATTTTTTATGTGTTTATTTACTATCCATATCATTTTCTTTAATGAAGTGCCTGTTCAAATCATTTGCCCATTTTTTAAAATTGAGTCATTTTCTTATTATTGAGTTTTAAGAATTCTTTATATATCCTAGATACAAGTCTTTTTTCACATATGTGCTTTGCAAATATTTTCTCCTAGTCTATGATTTGTCTTTTTCTTTCCTAGTATCTTTTGAAGAGCAGAAATTCTTGTTTCTTAGTGAAGTCCAATTTATCTTTTTAGAATAGTGCTTTTGTGTCATAGCTAAGAAAACTTTGCATTAGCCAAAGTCACAAAGATTTTCTTTTATGTTGTCTAAAAATTATGTGCTTTTAGATGTTACCTTTAAAATTTATGTTATTTCTTGAGATTATGTTAAAATATAACAATGTTCTAGAAAAAATGCATAAAACACAAAATTTAGGGTTAATAAATTTTAACAAAGTGCCAACATCAAACAGATCAAAAAACAGAATATTACTAGTAATTCAGAAACCATCTCATATCAGTTTCCAGTTACTACTACCCACAAAAAAATAATCACAATCCTCACTTTTAACACCACAAACTGTGTTTGCCCACAAGGAAGCAAAGAATTAGCAGCAGACCTGAAACCATTTTTTCCTCTCCTCCTGGGTAGCCTTGGAAAAACAATGACTCTTGTTAATTCTCCTTGTGAACATGATAATGACTAGACATCCTGGTAAGGATAAATCACTGGTATTGGCTAATGTCAATCTGATTTGACAAGTTAGCTCTTGTGTTATCACTCCTGTTTTGAACTTAAAGTATATACATAATATTTTTCTATCTGGCTCATTTGTTACTTATATTTATAGTTTGTTCATTCTCATTGCTGCATAGTATTTCGCTGTTTAACTACAGCACACTTTCTTTACAAATTTTAGTATTAATGTACATTTGAGCTGTATCAATTATGGATTGTTACACATAGTGCTTCTGTGATCATTAATGTACGTATCTTCCGGTGAATTTTTTCAATGCTTTTGTTGGGTATATTCCTAGGAGCAGAATTTTGGAGTCATAAGATATGCACGTGACTAGCTTTCTGAGATATTCACAATTTTCTAAAGTGATTTTACCAATTTATTGTATGTATGAGAATCTTGTTGCTCCAAATATTTACTGTTACCTAACATTTCTAATTTTATCCATTCTGGTCAAAATCCATTCTGATTAGTATATAAAATTGTTTAGTGATTTTAAAACCTATCCCACTTATGACTAAGAAAGTAGAGCATCTTTCCATGTTAATTAAAAATTTAAAATCCTCCTTCATGAAATCTTTGTACAAGTTCTTTGTTATTTTCCTATATGGTTGTATTATATTTTCTTATCGACTTATAGGAATCCTCTATATATTCTGTGATACAGGTCACTTGGTTTGTCTATATTTGATGAAAGATGTTCTTAATTACATTATACTCTGGCTAATCAATATATTTCCAATATTGTTAGCATGTATATATAATT